TGTTCTTCTATGCTTAATGGGTTCCTAATGCTTAATTTTAGGTTAGACAACAAATGATCAAATTAGGGAATTAGGAACACAAGGTTATGACCACACACCATGGCTTAATCATACTTTAGCTAGAATCAATCCATTAATCTAAATTGAACTTGGGAACTTATTTGCTTGAGTTACTTATTTCTTTCTTCCTTGTTTTATGTTCTTTGTTTTTGTTTCTATTTTGTGTAGGGAAACTAAATTGGATCATTCAATCACCAATCCCTGTGGAATCGACCTCGCACTTACATATGCTATACTACCAACGGTTCGTGCACTTGCGAGTATCACAAGTTGAGGATGCAGCTTAATCCATTTTGGTGGAGCTAAATCTACGCAACAGCAGCCAGATTGTCATTTCTCGGGATATATTTGACTGATATATCCTTGAACATAGAGCTCAAATTGCAGGCTGCGACGTAGTATGCTGCCATGGTCGGATCCCTGCATTTATATTCGTTGGTCAATTGCTTGATTATTAACTGGGAATCTCCGAAGACCTCTAGGTGGGTAACTCCCAGCTCTAGTACCATTTCTAGGCCGATAATTAGAGCTTCATATTCGGCCCTATTGTTGGTGCTGTCAAAATTGAGCTGAAACGAATATGCATACTTGGCTCCGAATGGATCTTCGATGACAATGCCTGCACCAGCTGTTGATTCTGATATGGAACCATCGAAAAATAATTTCCATGGTTTGACCTGGACAGTTTTTACAGGGATTAAAATCTGTCCTTGCTGACCGGGTAGCTTTCCAAAAACATTCTTGATCTTTAGTTTTGGAGTTCTTTGATCGAGTGGGAAGCCTAGGTTGGCAATTTCCATAGTGCTTAAATCCTCAATTTCGACACAAGGGTGGGCGGCTAGAAAGTCTGCAATAGCCTGCCCTTTAATTGCCTTCTGAGGAACATATCTGAAACTGAATTCCGAGAGAGCCAGAATCCATTTTCCCAATCGGCCCCTTAGTACAGGTCTATTGAGCATGTATTTAATTAGATCAGTTTTGGCTATTATATGAACAGTAAAAGGAAGCATGTAGTGTCGTAACATTACTGCTGTGAAATACAACGCCAGGCATAGTTTTTCAATAGCAGAATAACGAGTCTCAACCTCCTGTAATATTCTACTGAGATAAAATACTGCTTGTTCTTTACCCTCTACATTGTCTTGGGCTAATAAACTGCCGATAGAGTTATCTGAAGCAGAAATATACAATTTTAGAGGGTGTTTGTGCCTAATAAATCACGGCCATGAGCTGGCCGAAGGAGCCCCCTTTCTCGGCCCTGGCACTTGCTCGTAAAACTGAAACGCAGCGTTTCAACAAGGTGCTTTGCCTTCCTGAAGACAAAATAAAATGCCAAGGCATGATCATCTCGGCCTCGAGTGTAGGCCGAGGTCGAGGCCAAGCAAAATCGCGGTCAGAAATATTAAAGTCAGATCATCACGTGATAGCAGGGACCCATGCTTCATTTAATGAAGTAGCGCCTGTTTAATGCAGCAAACCCACTGGCCACAAATAAGCATTTAATGCATGAGGGAAGGTGGGAAGTGACTGAAGGCAGGTTGTGGCGACAGAAGACTGAGTGATTAGACGTAGACATTCTCACAAGAATTCTTGCAGCTTGAGAGATTAGGTCACCAGCTATCAAAGCAATAAATGCGTCTCCACGGCCAGCTGCGCAGAAATCACGATTAGGGCGGCGACCGAGATTCACCAGGATTTAGGTTCAAACACCAAACAAAAGCCTCCCACGGAGCAACTTATTTTTTCCTGTAATGCACTTTCAATATCTTTACTTGCTTTCCTAGGAGTAGTGTTAGACTGTAAGGAAAATTCATTCATCAATATATCATACGACCCTTGGTTTTCAAGGCGCCGGAGCACCATCTCTGTTGTTCGTTCCTTCACCCCATATATCATACGACCGTCGCTCCCTGAGCGACGCGCCGGAGCACCGCCCAAAACCCACCACCAACACCATCACTCAACGGCCTTGTAGTTCAGGCCGTGAACCTAACAGCCGAGACTAGTTCCTCTCTCGGCTACAATCGTTTGATTAGAAGACGAGTTCAAACAGGCGCACCACTGATCCAGCCTACACTCATCAACATCTTGACGCACGGTAGACCGTGCTGGCACGCCCGCGCACTAACGCACCATACCCAAAAGCAGGAAACCGCGTGTCAACGCACATCCCCTCGGCCCGGAACTCCAGGCCGTGAGATTTGCGCGGCAGACAGAGGGACGCCCCTTCTTGGAGGCGTGAGAACTGGTGGGTTACTCAGGTATTGCTTTATCTGATCGAATGCTTCCAGTTGGATCGGCCCCCATGGGAATGGATCCTTGTCCTTTGTTCTTAGCAGAGAAGAGAACGGTTGGACCTTTCCAGCCGAATTGGTGATGAATCACCTGAGAAAATTGATCTTTCCAAGCAGACTCTGCAATTCTTTCTTGCTGCGAGGAACAAGGGCATCAATGATTGCCTTAGTTTTATTCTTGTCCACTTCGATGCCTCTTTGATGAACCAAAAAACCCAGGAAGTTTCCCGCCTGGATGCCGAAGGCGCATTTTTTTGGATTCATCTTTAGTTGATGCCTCCTCATTCTGATGAAAGCTTTCCTGAGGTCTTCCATATGGTCTTCCTGCTCCTTTGATTTGATGACCACGTCGTCTATGTATACTTCCAGGGTGTGTCCGATCATATCATGGAAAATGGCGTTCATCGCCCTTTGATACATGGCCCCTGCATTTTTCAGCCCGAAAGGCATGACTAGATATTCATATGCCCCCACGTGCCCTGGGCATCTGAATGCTGTCTTATGAATGTCTTCTTCAGCAACCATGATCTGGTTATACTCTGCGTTGCCATCCATGAATGACAGAATCTTGTTACGCGCTGCTCCATCAATCAACATATCAGCCATCGGCATAGGGTATTCGTCCTTTGGGGTAGCTTCGTTCAAGTTTCTGTAGTCAACACATACTCTGACGGCCTTGGTGACCTTTTTCAGAACAGGCACGATATTTGCTAACCACTCGACATATCGGGCTGGTCTGATGAATCCTGCCCTTAATAATCTCTCGATTTCTTCTTTTACCTTCAACTCAATTTCGACCGACATCCTCCGCTTTAACTGCTTCACTGGTTTATAGCCCTCTTTTATGGGCAAAAGGTGCTCTACCAAACTTCTGTCCAGTCGTGGCATTTCGTGGTAATGCCATGCGAAACAGTCTCTGAATTCTTGTAGGAGGGAAATCAGTTCCTTTTTGATGTCAGGGTCCAAGAGGCCACTGATGAATGTCGGCCTTGGATCTTCATCAGTTCCCAAATTAATTTCCTCGAGAGGGTCCTGTATTTCTGGAGGTGTTGTGCTGAGTTTGGTGGGTGTTGTGTAGATACAGCTGCACCAAAATGGATTCAGTTGTATCCTCAACTTGTGATACTCGCAAGTGCACGAGCTGTTTGGTAGTATAGCATATGTAAGTGCGAGGTCGATCCCACGAGGATTGGTGATTGAATGATCCAATTCATTTTCCCTACACAAAACAGAAATGAAAAAGAAAGGAAATAAATAAAACAAGGAAGAAAGAAATAACTAACTCAAGCAGATAAGTTCCCAAGTTCAATTAGATTAACGGATTGATTCTAGCTAATGTATGATTAAGCCATGGTGCATACAACACTTGTATTATAAAATCTGAATTGGTTGATGCACTTGAATTAGAAAATCTGAATTGGTTGATGCACTTCACCAATAAATCCCACCAGCAGCCCTAGCTCATCTTCATGTCACCATGACCAAGCTTCCAACCAGAAATTATAGCTCATACCTAGCTCACCATGACCAAGCTTCCAACCAGCTCATCCTGAGGTCAGCATGACCAGCAACTTCAAGGGGTTACGAATTGGGCTAGGCTGAATCAAATGAAGACTTTAAGATGTCCATTGTGAAGTTCAGAATGTGTATGATCCAACCACACAAGTATTGGCCCAATCCAAGCTCGGAGGAGGAAGTTAAGGCCGAAACAAATTGCTAACTCGTTTTGCTCGCTGACAAAAATCCATCCTGAGCATGGTTCAGTGTTT